CAGACGCTGGGCCTCGCTAAGGACGCCTGGGAGATCAGCCGCAGCTCCATCGCGCTCCAGCGCCGGCTGGGCACCGGCTGCTTTGGGGATGTGTGGCTGGGTACGGAGCTCCTTGGGGCGGGGCCGGGGCCCAAGGCCCAAGGCCCGAGGCCAGGGCAAGGGCTTGAGACGGTGGGGAACAGATCCTGACGAGCTGGGGCTGCCCGACAGGCATGTGGAATGGCAGCACAAAGGTGGCGGTGAAGACGCTGAAGCCGGGCACCATGTCCCCGAAGGCCTTCCTGGCGGAGGCGCAGATCATGAAACTGCTGCGGCACGACAAGCTGGTGCAGCTGTACGCCGTGGTGTCGGAGGAACCCATCTACATCGTGACGGAGTTCATGTGCCACGGTGAGGGGTGGGGTCAGGAGACCGAGTCTGGGAGGGCAGGATGTGGGGAGAAGTTTAGGTGGACGTCTCTGGAGTAGGGACCTGGGTGGTGGTCAGTGTCGGGATGAGGGACAATGGGCAGAGACCGCGTGAAGGGCCAGAATGAGTGAAACCACAGAAGTGTTGGGAGTAGGGGAGGGACCAAGTTAGATAAAGCAGGTGTGTGTGTGTGTGTGTGTGTGTGTCTGTACCTGTGGGCGGAGCCTTGGCGGCGGTCAGCTATTGGGTGGCGCTTGGGCCAGTGAAGGTGGGATCTGTGGTAAGAAAGGATTTGGGGCAGAGTCTGAGTGGGGCATGCCTAACGGGGGATTGAGGAAAGGAAGGAACAAGTGGTGGGCAGAATCAGGGTGTCTGTGAGAGTGGGGCCTGGGCGAGGTCTGTGCGGTTTGAGGCACCTGGCGGGATCCTGAGTGGGGACGGATCCAGGGTGAGAGGACTAGGAGCAGGGGACAGAGCCAAACCCTAAGAGATTGGTCCTGGATAGGGGCAGGGCCAAGCAAGAGAAGGCAGGCCTGGAGCTGGGGGCATGGTCTTGCTGTTGATTTTCTGAGTTCTTCTCCCCAGGTAGCTTGCTGGAGTTCCTCAAGGACCAAGAAGGCCAGAATTTGAGGCTGCCCCAGCTGGTGGACATGGCAGCCCAGGTAAACTGGGACAGCAGCCTTTATCTCTCAGAGCCCTTCCTATTATCTTCCACAATCCCTGTGCCCTCAAACACCTAGCCTACCCTTGGAAGTGCAGTCCCAACCCTTGGGTCATCTGTGTGACCCAAGACAGCGCACGGCCCCTCTCTCTGAGCCTGTCTGGAAAGTGGGCTTTTCACATGATCCCTCACACAAACCATGGTGTTTCCATCTCTCCATGCCTTGGCACCTCAGGTAGCTGAGGGCATGGCCTACATGGAGCGCATGAACTACATCCACCGAGACCTGAGGGCAGCCAACATCCTCGTAGGGGAGCGGCTGGTGTGCAAGATCGCTGACTTCGGGCTGGCCCGTCTCATCAAGGATGATGAGTACAACCCCAAGCAAGGTGCCCTGCTTCATCCCACCTTACGAGAACTCCCCAGTGCACCCTGGGGCTGCCATGGGACCCCACGTGCTCAGGGACCCTTCCCCTAGACCATCCGGGACACTCCCACTCTGATGTAGTTAGCGTAAGAGGCACCTCCGGGTTCAAACCCAGCTCCTTCACTTACTAGCCATGTGGCCTTGGGCAAGTCATCTAACCCATCTGTGAGCTCTTTTCTCACAATGAAATTCTCAATGAATACTTTCAGTGAAAATAGACAACAGTTAAGTTAACAGATATTGATCAAGTACCTCCTATGTGCCAGGCACTGCTATAAATCTCAAGTGAAAGATCATAGACTGTAACAGTGTAAACTCTGCAGCCAGAATGCCTGGGTAGGAAGCCACTTATAGGCTATTTAATTTGGGCAAGTTATTAACAGCCTAGGGCCACCTTTTCCTCATCTGTACAATGGGGATAGTAATAGTACTAAATAATAGTAATATTTTAAAAAAACAGTAATAAAACTCACAGGGTTTTCATGAAGATTAAATGACTTAATGCATGTTAGTCGCTTAAAACAGTGCCTGGCACGTGGTACAGGCCATACAAATTTTAGCTATTAGTATTATGAGAATTATTTTAATGTTTGTAGAGTGCTCAGCACTACACTTGCCACAAAGGAAGTGCTGGCTAGATACCAGGTCTTTTCTGTTGTGCCCAGAGACCTCTGTGGGTAGGGTCCCTAATCCTAAAGATGCCATTCTCTTAATCCAGCTGTTACCAGAGATCCCTCTACTAACTTTCCCTTCTCCCTCATCTCTCTAGGGGCTAAGTTCCCCATCAAATGGACAGCCCCAGAGGCTGCCCTTTTTGGCAGATTCAGCATCAAGTCAGATGTGTGGTCCTTTGGGATCCTGCTCACTGAACTCATCACCAAGGGCCGAGTCCCTTACCCAGGTTTGCTGGGGGATGGGGAGGCAGAAGGGTGGTCATGGGGAAGGGCTTCTTCCTTGTTGCCTCTTTAGGAGGGGCTAGGCCCCCTGACTGACAGAGCCCCACCCTCCAGGCATGAATAACCGGGAAGTATTGGAACAGGTGGAGCACGGCTACCACATGTCCTGCCCCCCAGGCTGCCCAGCATCCCTGTACGAGGCCATGAAACAGACCTGGCGTCTGGACCCCGAGGAGAGGCCTACCTTCGAGTACCTGCAGTCCTTCCTGGAGGACTACTTCACCTCCACAGAACCCCAGTACCAGCCTGGGGATGAGACATAGCCTGTTTGGGCATCAACCACCTCTCAGGGGTTGTCCACCAGCCCCTTCCAATCCTCAGGGCTCCGGTCCCAAGGCCCCATGGCCCAGAACCCTAAAGAGTCTTAGCCTGTCAGAGCAAGCAAGTTGCTCTAGTACCATCTAGGGCAACCCCTCATTTTAAAGATGGGGCAAATCCAGGCTCAGAGATCATCCCTCACCTACTCTGGTTCCAAGCACTATTTTTTCCCTTCCCACTTATGCCCCTAGAAGCCTCTAGCCTCCTGTCTGCACTCCCCCCACCAAAAAGAAATGCTCAGACTCTGTCTAGTTATTTATAAAACTGTATATCCTTTCCCTCACTTATCACCTGTCCCTACTCTCCTCCCCTGTCATCCCATCCTGGTCCAGAATTCACCTCCTACTCATTGTCTTGGGTCTATAAGTTACAAAGACAGGAAAATCTTTGCCGGATCCCTTTCCTGCTGTGTGTATGCTCTAGTCCAGGACCCTGGTCCAAGCCCAGGGTGAGGAAGAGGGTTGCTGAGGGCTTCTGTGAAACACGTGTGTGTTTACTGATTCTGTAAATAACAAAAATGACAATATGAATCCTTGAGCCACAAAAATCTCTTCCTTTGGGAGGGATGGTGGTCTGTGGGAAGTGAGTGGAGCCTCTTTGGCTGCTGGGAGGAAGGGGCAGTGAGAGAGCACCTTAATGCCTGCTAAGCACAGGGCACCCAAGGTGTGTCCTAGGACACCCAAAAGTCCTGATGCTCATCCCCATGTGAGTTTAGAACGAGCTGAGAAATGGATACAGAAGACAAGCAACTGGAGATCAAAATTTCCCATTACTGACGTGGCTTTCAATCTGTGTATGGCTCACTCTTTACCTGATTTCAGCAGATTTACCCTTCATCATAGGCACCACAGCAGAACTTCAGACCTCCCCCGGCAGAGTAGGAGGAAGACCACTGTGGACCCTCTACAGTTCCCCAAAAGAGGACAGAAGGGAGAGGAGGGGAGAGGCCTGAGAGTTAGTCTAGTTCATTGGATTTCATTTGGAGCAACTCTGCTCCCAGGAGGCTTTTGGAGAGATTTGGAGGCAGTTTTGTTAGTCACAGTGAATTGGGGCTCCTACTGGCATGTAGTGGACAGGGACTGGGGGTGCTAAACAGCCCACTGTATACCTGTTCAGTGAAGACTTCTCCCACCCCTTGGCTCCCCTTTTGAGAGACTCTAGCGATTGATGTGTCTCCACGTGGAAACTAGAGGAACAAGGACTAAGGATTCCCAGCTCTGCCATCAGGAAGTTGTTGACCCTTGACTTACTAAGGGAGCAGCTGCAGGAGAGAGCCTGGGAGCTGGGAATCACTGCTGCACCTGGCAAACAATTACTAAATATTGATTCTGTGAAGGGCCCTTTGCTAGGCAGGACCCCAGGGACACACGTGAACAAGACCTGCTCCTGTCCGGAGGAGTTCACAATCAGGCTGGGGAGAAATAATAGTAATAATAATAACAACTCATTTATTAAGTGTCTGCTGAATGCCGGATGGGTTTACATTCATCTTTTCATTTAACTCAGTCCTGAGTCTGGTTCTATGATTAATTCCCCCCCCCCCGTTTACAGATGAGGAAACTGAGGCCCAGGGGTTACCTGATGTACCAAGGTCACACAGATATATGTGATAGAGCTGGGACATGAACCCAGGTATCACACCAAGGCCCATGATCTTTCTACCAGACCTCACTGCCTCTGGGCTTTAGGAAAAGCTCCTATCTGCCCCAGGTGGATGTTTGGGGGATCCTTCTCCCTTAAATATTGGTAGAAAGATTCCCTGGAAGCCCTCCCAAATTGACTGACCTAAGGGAAAGGGGACAAGGTGACCAATGCAGAATGAGCATTTCCTTGTTCAGCCCTGTGCTGGGGATTGCTGATGGGAGCAATGAGATGGGGAGAAGCCAGGGGCTGCTTAGAGAAATGGTCACAGGGGTGGGAGCCGTAGCTCTGGCACATCAACTCTCAGGAGCCAAGGCTTCCCCAAGGCCATGGTCTCTAGACAACCGAACTCACAAGAACCTGATGTATAAGCCAGAGATCCAGTGTTTCTACCTGCCATGGAGTCAGGAGATAGGAGCACAGATCTGGAGCTGTAGTGCCTGTTGTGAATCTTGCCTCTGCCACTCACCAGCTGTGTCATGTCGTTCAAGCTGTGAACCTCTCCAAGCCTCAATTTCTTCATCTGTGAAATGACAATAAAATGCACAGTACATGTTAGCTGTCTTTGTCACTACAATTTACCAATTATTTACTCCATGCCAGGCATCCCACTAAGTGCATGCTGCCACTTAATCCTCACAGAACCCTATGAGGAGAGGGCTATTGTGGCTTAATTTTACTAATAAAGAAACTGAAACACAGTGAAGTAAATAGACTATAGGGCATAAGTGGCAAAGCAGGGGCTCAGACCAGGTCCTCTGAATCCAGAATCAGTGCTCTTAGTCTCTGGAGTCTTTTCCTGGGACCAGAATATTCTTGTCTGCACAAAGGGGCCCTGCTTGGTGCCTTTAGGGACGTCCATTTAGTTTAAATGAAGGCTCAGCAGAGCCATGAACCACCTGGAGTTCACCAAGCCCTCATGACTCCTCAGCAGAGACCAGAGCAGCCTGAGCCTGGAATCCCTGTGTCTACTGGTTCCCTGTCCCCACCTCTGGTGCAGCCAGGTGAATTCTCCCTTGCACCCCCTTTTCTGTGCATCCTTCTGTTCCCTTCAGATAGAGCACAATGCAATTGATTAGGCCTCTGTTTTCTCAATTTCAATCACATCCTCGCCCTGCCTCCCTGAGATTACAGGCGGGTCACCTTGATTGCGGTTTCCACCGTTCACAAAACTCTTCAGTCATTTACAAAACCATCTCTCGCCTCATTCACTCCCCCACCTGGCTCTTCTCCTCTGTGATGCGTGATTTTACTGGCTTAAGACTCAGAGGGCAATTTTATTTCCAAGTTCATGGTGAGGGAGGAAGACACCTAATTGACTAATGCTGGGTGTTGACACATGCATCATCTCATTTGAGCCTCACCAGGAGGCAGAGCAGAAGTATGATTATTCCCTTTTTGCAGTAGAGGAAATAAAGACTCTGAAGGGCTACAAGACTTGCTCAAGGTCATCCAGCTGGGTGATAGAGTCAGGATTGGAACCCAGGTTTGTGTAACTTCAAAGTCTCCTGTCTCCCTGGGTGTCACATTCCCTTATTTGATGGAGCAGCATGGGAAAATATGATACTAACCCGGAGTCAAGCCCAGGGAGGACATGGTGCAGATAGGGGTCAGAGGTAGCCCCATCTATGCTGAGGACGGTAGTCATAAAAGAGCCAAGTCATTTATTAATTTCACACACATCTACTGATGTCTTCTGGAGGCTGGTCCTGTCCAAGACGCAGAACAGTAAGCAATTACAACATTTAGGGGCAAGGTCAGTCTGGAGGCCAAGGGAGACTTCTTGGAGGATGTGAAAGAAAAGTCTGCCTGATGAAGCAGTCAGAGGGTGAGATCATCTCCCACTGAGGGAACAGCATGTGCAAAGGTCCAGAGGCATGGTAGAGCAAGGCCAAGTCAGGCAACTGCAAATAATTACATATGGGAGGGTTGAGGAAAAAGCTGAGGCATGGAAGAAGGTTGGAAGGTCAGCAGTAAGAGGTAGGAGGGTCGAGGAAACCAAGAGCTATGGCCCCAGAGTTGCAGAGAAAAGTCAAAGAGAAGAAATCTGGGTGGCTCAGGACCTACTAGGAGGAGTCTATTCTGGATCCCGGTGCTCCAATACTAAGCTGGGTGGGTCCACTATCCACACCAAGAGTTCTCCCAGGTACAATATCAAAGCTTCCCTCCCACCGAGTCATCCATTACACACACACACTCTCTCTCTCTCTCTCTCTCTCTCTCTCTCATGCATCTGGATGGTTAATGTCCATACTCCCTCTAGTGGTCGCTCTGGGCTCTACACCCAAAACTGCAGGAAACTTGCCTCCCAGGTAGGGACTAGGTCCTTCAGACCCTCCTCATCCCTCAGGATGGGGGAGAGCAATACAGTACAGTTCCTGCTCTCAGAATGCTCACAGTTAAATGGTGATGAGGGTGAAGGGGACAGACACAAGCAGAAAATGTGGGAGAACAGGGGAGGGTTCCAACTCAATCGGGCTAGGGGGCTGTCCTCTCAGTGGAGGTGTTGCTTCACCACTGGAGACATGAAAAAGGAGTAAAAGTTTGCTTGATAAAGAAGCAAGAGAGGGCATTCCAGACTTGACAGAATTAAGTAGCTCAGAAGCAGGAAATGAGACCGTGCAGGGAATTACAATTAAGTAGGTGTGACTGGAGTGAAAAATTTGAGGAGGTTCATTGGCTAAAGATGCAGATGGTGAAGTAGACATGGGGCCTTGTCTACCATGCATTTGGGCTAGGAATCCAAGCCTTGGGCCATGGGAAGCCACTGAAGGTTTTGAGCAGGGGAGCGGCAAAATCAGATTCACTTTCTAGACGGAATCCGTTGGTGACCAACATAGAGGAAGGATGGGAGAGGAAGATGTGGAAGAGGAACACCCCTCTTGGACACAAAGAACCACACCAGGTCACACTCATAGGAGGATACAGAGCTTTGGGCAGGCCTATGAACCAGACGTATCAACACATGGGATGACACCTACAGACAAGTCAGTGGCACCCCAGGCTGGGCACCCAGACAAACAAACACATACTGACATACACTTAGACACATAACTCAGGTCCCTGAGCTGAAAGGAAACAGAGGACACATATTCAGCCCCAGACACAGGCTGACAGTGAGAATTGTGCACACCCTGATGGACACAGGAATTCACATGCACGCAGTGTGCCTGTCAAGGGCCCTACCCTGCCCCCTTCTCTCCCCTGGGTTCCTCACCACCTCGGGCAGGAACAAAGCTGACCTTTGCCCTCTGGCCTCTGGCCTCTCCTCCCACACCCCCTGCCCAGAGGGAGGAGCTGTTTGAAGTCTGGGCTGCAGCTGGGGTTTCCTGTTGCCTGGAGGAATGTGGGAGGATTTGCAGGGAGGGGGAAGTGGAAGGAGGCCGGCAGAGGAGGAGGGATAATGGGGACCTGAGGGCCTTAGTTCCCACTGTACCACAATGAAGAAGGGCTTCCTGCTTCCATGGTTTCTGGGGCCCCCGCTCTGAGCTGTTCCCATCCAAAGGAGGGGAAAACCAAGGCCATGATGGCTCCAGTCCAACGGGCCTCTTGTTCCTGTATCTGTAGCTTGGTGGCTCTCTTCGCCTCAGTTTCCCCTTCTGTGGACTGGGTTGAACCCCTCCCTAGCCATCCACACCTTTCCTGAGGGAGCTCCAAGAGTGGGGCTTCTGTAGTCAGGGAGGGCAGTGATCTTTACTACCCAAGTCTCACTTCACTCTGCCCTTTCCCGGAGCTCCAGGGGCCTGGCTCCAGGCTGCTGTGACCCCTCAGTTATTGTCATTATTATCATCATGACTTGCTAGGCCCTCAGTATGCCCTTGCCAGTTTTCAAAGTGCTTTCACATCCATGTGTTCAGTAAATCTTCTGCACATCCCTGCCTGTAACACAGGGGCCAGAGT